AACATAAATTTAACTGTAATCACACCAATAATATATTATCGAAGAGTTTCGGATCTATAGCATTTTATAAAATTAGAAATTATTGTGAAATTCAGAAATTGCAGTTGAAGATAATAATTATTTAAGATGTGCTATCCCTCGGTGCTTATTAATGAAGGGTATTATTTATTAATACGTGCACCCGTAGTACAAGGGCCTACTATCCTACAGAACAGTAGGTCAGTGGGCCAGTCCACCCCTGGATATGCGTATAAGTTTTATGCAAATACATTTATTTAATATAATATTATATATATGTATATTATAATATTATGTTTATGTTTTTTGACACCACAACAATAGTTACGTGATTGCTCGACTGACTATACTGAGGCGGCACATAGTCAATGTCAAGCGATTTCAAAGTAGATTACCCATTTTTTAAACGTATTATTATACATTTAGTAGATACATTGTTTATTTATTTAATATGGAATTTTCGTTATTATTTAACTACTATAATATAAACATTTAAATCTTGTCATTAGTGAGTATTTTATAAAAATAGTAAATAAATAAATATTAGTATTAATATTATCTACTATAATAGATAACCAATACATTTTAGATAGATACTAAATTTTATTTTAAGCTCCTGTTGAAAGTATATGTATACATTCTTCATATTATTCTTTATCTCTAGATACTATAGAAGGGCCTAATTATATTATATTAGATGTTGTATTCTATGAAATGTTCCTAAATGTTCTTATCAACTACATTGTTTTCATCTCTTTTCATCCTCATCTTCCAAATATGGAGTAAGCCACTCTTGTCATACAGCTCCATTGATCTCGGTCCTCCAACTCTTCTTTACTCCCACCAGCTATTTCCGTGACACTCTCTGTAATTATGTTTATGGTATATCCATGTAATAATATAATGGTCGTCCTCTACCTTTAAACCCTATTTTACATTCATTTGCATAGTCACCTCACTTCATAAGATGACCGAAACATCTCAATTTAATCTCTCTCATTTCACATCATTCCACATAAATTATATTGTTTAAATTATACAATTTGTTCTAAGTATGTATGTAATAATAATATATAGAAACAGTTATTCCGTACGTATATTTTTTTTTTACCTAGCAATATTGCTGAAATTATGCTTATTACGTTCTATAAGATGACTTCATACACCTATAATTTAACAATTGTGTTTTTGTTCAACTACATAATTACTATTACTTTTTACTTATTTATACTTAAAATTATTATAATTTATACTATGTTACTACTTAATCGTCACTGTTGAAGAGTAAAAAATAAAAATACAAATAAATGAAAGGTACTTACAGACTACAGTATGGGGATGATCGGTAAATAATATAGGAGAGTTATACCATAAAACACCAATGGGGTCCATCTAAATGGAAGACGCCACAACGACCACTACTACTACACACGTATTAAACGGTGTAATAAATTAGCATATTTATACGTAATAATATGATATGTTTGACTATGCATATGTGCATAATTATGTGTTTACGCGTCCTGTTGTCGTTTATGGCTGACGAGTGCTTTTATTTTATTAGTATAATGTGGTTATGTACAATAATATAAATTATATAAATTCTATACTACCTAATTATTATATTTTATGTCTAATGTAGTAATAATTATTATATAAACGTTATTTGAATGTATACTTTAATTCACTCACCAACATATTATTCAACATTAATCTAATATATTTGTGGATAAGTCTCGACTACGGGTCGTCTGTTCGATGCTCGAAGTCACTGTGACGTATATTGTATAGCTATGTATATATGACGAATTCGATTTATATTAATTCACTTATTATTGAACTAATAAGATATTGGGATTTACTTTTTTATTATGTTATTTTTATAGAATTGAAGTAATTCGAACACCGTTTATATAATAATATGTTAATTTGTTCGAATTTTACAGTCATTATTATTCACATTGATGCAGATACTTTATTTCTAATATAAGCTAAATTTTTACTCATAGTTCTCAAGAATTAATCTATATATTTTTTTAGATTCTAAATGTCCCTACATTCGTATAGCTATCATAAGTAATTTTCAGACACCGATTGCCAACCTATTTTAATTTAAGTTATAAAATACTAATGGTATGATTAAGTTCTAAATTATAATATCCTTATGCTAATGATTCTAAGCGATTACTTATAATCTAAAATCTAAATAATAATAATAATACCATGTAATAACTAATAGCTATACTTAATACGTCTTATGATCTAAACAATAATACTATATGTAATATTGTAATAAGTAATAACTACACTTATATAATACATTCGAATAATATTAATAAATACGATACTTAAATTATATTACTCTAATGGCTATTGTGCTTTAAGGATTATAATTAAATACACCATAGATGTTAGTAGGTTAAATGGGGAAATAAAATAACAAGTGGATTTGGACAATAGTACAGGATAGATAACCATAACCCTGTTATCATAACCGGATGTTTGAATAACACAGTAAACATACAAGTGTGCAGGACGCAAGTACTCGTTTGTGTGGCAAAAACATATCGAAGTGCATTATTATACTGGCATGCGTCTTGCGATATTTTACTAAGAGCCTGGACGGTGTGTAAATTTCGTTTAATCCTTATAATATAGGATAATTGTAGGGTCATCCTTTCTACTATTAATGCCTATCGGTTGAAAGTAACGTGCGTTAAGGGATCTAAATGCACTAGTAAATGTATGTGTTACGAGCTACGGTTACTATGGTATCACCAGAATAAGAGCACTTTTCTTTTTTCGCAGAACGTCAGTGCGTTTGGGCACACGTTTTAAGTGTTTTACATATACGGCAACGTATATATTATAATATTATATTGATTTATATCTCGCAGCCTATATGGCCAGTGATCACATCATAATATCAGCTATCCTATGTTTTTATTTAAAATATACAATTTGGAAATATATTATACTACATCACTGATCATAAACTTCAAACGTGACTACCGCAGTCACCATGAGAGTATCAAAGTATCCTAAACTTTGGAATCATTAAAACATTAAATATTGTGAACAAAATAAAAATTATTGTATTGTATTAATATTATTATATATACATTTCAGTTTATTTTTTTTAAATTGGTCTTATTATATATTTTAAATTTAAATTGCAATCTATATAAGTATAATACCTAGGCACTCTTTTTCAATTTAAATATTAAAACTCTTAGACTAGAAAAAGTTGCGTATTATGAAACGAATTTTCATAGGTACCTAAGTTTAAGTATAATAATTCTTTGTAAATTGTTTACCCGTTCAATTCCAAAATGAATACGATGCACTATATTATGTTTAAAAGGATATTTTTTAGCATTAAAATAAATATTTTACATACGACTTAAATCGTTTTGTCGTTGTCTTGTCGGCTATAAATCTAAAATAATTTATAATATAGAGCTATCAACGAAATCGATCGAATCGGTAGGTACGTCGTGCAAACAGTAGTATTTATCGACGGTTGTTTGTTTTCGATTTAATGTCTACTTTAGCTAGTAAAACGATGTTTTTCTGTCTTTCTTTCTTTTTTTTCGATAAAAACGCCCATCTTTAACTGAACACATATTACAATAATTTATAGTTGAGACCGACCGCCCATCGTGTTTTGAAACTTGAGTGTATTTCTGTCCGGTTGACTTTGGATGGTGATTGCATCTAAAACGTTCTATAAATAAACATTATAACACAGCGACGACGAAACACCGTCACCGTAGATACACATTACACAGTATAAACACAGACATATATTATAATATTATACTTGGAGGAGTTCGGCTAAACACACCAAAGTAATTGGACGGCACGCCGCTTTGACCACAACTGTACTCGGTGTCAGTGGGAGATCGATTTAATGTAACGAGTGGCTTATTCCGAGCTTATCTCTGGACAACAATATATTAACTATAAACCCGACGTAAACGAAACACCGCGGTCAAGCCGTGGGGGTGACTAATTCTGACGCTCAGACCCGGGAAATTAAGTTATAAAAAAATAAAACAATAATGATAGGAATGGAAAGAGAAAAGAACACAATGAAAACTCGAAACTATATATAATAATGTATAGGTATTATATTATTTTGTACGTCCCACACGTCGACTGTAAGCTTGGATATTTTCAAATAGAAATTTTTTTTTATTGCAATTGTCAGCAACATTGAACATTTTCAACGACTGAATTTTTTCAAGTTCTTCCAATTTTTCCATTTTTTTGTCTACACGACTTAGGTCATTATACATGAATACCAGTAGAGGTATTCGTAGACCATAGTCACGATTCCAACTTCGTCATAATAATATGTAATAAAAATAATTATAGTATTAAACATTTTTCATTTACGTGTTTAGTAATATTAATAAAAACTGTGATAATAACGATAGTGATAAATGATAATTTATATTTATATTAATGTATTTTTTTAAATTTATTAGACCTATATTTTAAGTAATAAAATATATTAAACAGTTAGTATTTTCATTTCATAAGATATAAGTAAGTCGGTAAGTGTTTTGTGAATAAATGTATGGTTAACAAATTACATATAATTTAAAAAAAATAATAATTACAAAATCCATATAACATTTATGATGAAAATGTACAGCTTTAACTATCTCATATCTGTTTTTAAAAATAGTTCTTAATAAAAAAGCTATAGTTATTTTTTAAAAAAAGGTAAAGTAATAATAAACCTATCTATATATATTATATAGTAGAATGATAATATTTCGATATATCGATACGAATATGTCCAACGGATAATAATAAAAGTGGTCAGCGAAGACGTCTCTTAGGCTCCTAGCTCGACCGGTAACAATTATGTTTATTAAATAATATAACAATACCTTTTTGGCGCATTCACCGAGGTCGGAAATGAATACAATATCGACGGCAAAGGCCAATTCGGCTCGCTGACGACAATAATGATAGACGAAGTGCGAAAGCACTACACTAGTACACTATACGAGGCCGTCAACGTCAAACACGCGGTTACCAAACCGCGACCATGGTTCGGACACGGGACGTCGCAGGTGTCCACGGCTCACCTCGAGTTCTATGGAAAGACAGCTAAGATGATCACCGCCGAGCCGGTGACTTGGCCGGAGCAAACGGTGCGACGCGATAACCTCCATGACAGGAGGCATGTCAAAGCTCTCGGATATTCGCCCGACGAGTGGCAGTGTGGACCGGTTATAAATCAATAGAGCTGCAAGTTTGAGCACGTCGATATTCATGTTATATGTAGAGTTACGAGGTGTCGAAAAACAATTATTAATATCAAATACACACAACTACATCATTAATTCAATATGATTATTGTAGAGCAGTGATGATTAAGTAGCCTATTTGTGCATGGTACTACCTGTTGATTTAACACGTCTGGTGACCACTGACTGATTAAGAATATGAAGCACTGATTTCAGATGTAAATATCATATTAGAAATGCTACAATTTATAGGGTGAACATAATTATACCTTTAACAAAAACCTGCATTGACTAACAATTTAAATTTATTTTCATGGATGTTTTAAAGATTTTGAAAAAAAATATACTTATAATATGTACTTAGAGTACTGACTATGAGTAATGATAAGGATAAAGCGTATTTTAAACATGGTGGAATATTCAATAATATTATAAATGATTTTATTTAACTACAACTGTAGTTTGTGTCCTCTTGTCGACATTTATAATATTGATATACTAGGTACCAAATATACTGTATAAAATCTCAGCTTCAAGATTTGATATTACCAATAACAATAAACAATAATACTATCCATGTCTATATATTTTGTTAAAATATATTCAAACGGTCATGTTCCCGGAACAATAACTGACAAAGATACCGTGAAACGAACACAGGCACTATTCAAGACAAGAACGTTAGAAGGGTAGGTAACTAAATTTTTAAATGTTGACAAGCAGTTGGCAAGAATACAATCGTATAAAACGTATACGAATTTTAAAATGTCGAGACAAAAAATTTAAAAATCCATACCTAATTCAAAAACTACGCTTAAACATAATATAACGGAGGTTTTTTGTGGATATTTGTGTGTTTAATTTTAATATTAAATTATATTAGTTACCAATGTTTGTTTTTAATCGATAATATGATAATAATAATTATATTTAATATCAATGTTAAACAGTTATAATATTAATTAAAATAATTTAACAAGTAGTGTACTTAATAAATAAAAGTTACCATAGGTACCTATAGAATTTATCAATTATTACAATCGATATTAATAAATTATAAAAAAATAAAATAGAAATATAGGTACATAATATATTTTGAGATTTTAATTAATAGTCGTGTTTATCGTGGAGTTCCGGTCATCTGGTATCGATCCAGTCCCATAAGTGTTTACAGAGTCTACGAGTCATTAAAACAATACATAAACATATAATAGGTAGTCAGACAGATATAAATCGAGTGAAATATACACCATAAGGCACCGAGATTGCCGATTTCCGCCGGAACAGCCATAATACGACCCGACGACCGTATTAAATTATTACGTTTGTACTTAAAAATGGTTTCGATATAAACTATTCGGTTATGGTCGCCCAGAAATGTGTACCTACATAATATTATGTATTTTTTTTTTTGAAAATGCCAACGGTCAATGTCGTCGTCGTCGCTATAGTATAATAATAATATATATTATTTACCTACACATTTATATAAACGCTGTAATTTCTTGTACGCTGTCCGTCGGCGTTTCAAATATTTCACTGCGACGTGTCGCCGATATACCCACATCCGGTGTAATATTTCAAACCGACCGTAGAGTAATAGTAAGGCTGTTAATTTTGCCGCCGCCGCCACCATAACATGATCGTGTGCGCTTATATATATATATATATATAATAATGATAATAATAATAATAATAATGATAATAATAATAATACAACGTAGGTAGGTATAATATATAACGTCGTAGTGGAGATGAGCCAACCGTTTACCGGGTCGGCCGACGCCACGGCGGCAGCGTAGTCGTTCCTGCGGGACAGTTAGTTTTTATGCGCCAGCCCCGTGATATTAGGTAAATTATTATTCTAATTTCACACCCAAAACTCGTGACGGTGGACAGTTATTTTTTACGATCCGTGCACTATCCTCCAACGCGGGAGCTGTATACATATAAAAAATAAAAAACCACCACCATCGCCGGATAATTTTTATAATTAACTTTACCTAATAATATCACATATTTTAAAGTCCCGGCCGTAATCGTCCGGAGATGATGGTTTCTGCACAGCAGTGTAAGAGCACATAAATATATATTATTATTATTATTATTATTATATACCTACATAGCTATTCTCGGCGTGTCACACTTTACCGCTAGAAAAATATATGTAATATTACTATGTTCCTACGTCATCGTGCTCCAATCGAAATTTTACCGGTAACGTTATACAACACATGCTGCATATAGGGGTGGTCTTGTGTCGGAGAAATTGAGTAACCTACACGTTTCGCCGGCGTCCGCTTAAGCTGATGCATAGTATTTTCTTATTTCACTGAGTGCAGCCAATTTAGTGTGACGTAGTTGCCAGAGAATTTTTTTCGAATTTTTAAAAAAGAAAAACTATTACGACTTGTCAGAAATAGTAATATATATTTTTTTAATCTCCGGTCGTCCAAACCAGCGTTTAACAGCTAACGCGACAGAAGTATAACGTAATATTATTCATTTGAAAATAGACATTCAAATAATGAATTGGTTCCACGTTGTTTTATGTAATTTTTATTTTTATCGTTTTCACACTAGAACTGCAGGTACCTCTATAATAATATTATAATATTGTAATAGGTAATATGTATACCTATTAATATTTCGCGTGCATAAGGTACAATAGGTTAATTTACGACACACGCATACTAGGCATTAATAGTTTCCGTGACACACGTGTTTTGTAAAAAAGGATTTGTATAGGTGCGTAATTACAAAAAAAAAAAAATAATAATACAAACTTGTAAGTTTTTGAAAAATAACTCGTAAGTATTGTGTATAATATTAAATAATTTTAAACATAGGTAGCGTTTATTTGGATAATTTAATATAAATCGCTACCATAAAAATGTAAAGGTAGTTGATTATTAATAAAAAACTCGTGGCTACAATGATAAAGTCTTTAAAAGCATCGCAAAAACGTTGAACAAAACTAACTCGAGTAAATTACTAAAAAAAAAAAAAATTAATAACCATAGACAAAGTGAGTAAGAAATGAGAGTCAATCGGGTAAGCTGAAGCCGTATAAAATACAGATACCTTTTACAATAAACTAGGAACTGATTCAGTAATTTAGAAATTTCCTAGAATTTCACACATACATGTGCTGAATTGAATTACAGTAGAAAAACTGTATTACGTACTTACGTCCAATTTTTATTTCTTAAAACAATTCAACATGATAGTATACATTCGTCATTCGTCATTCGTCATTCGTGTACAAAATACACAGAAGTGAGTATCATAAATCACAGTTGGTTTATTAGATAATGTTTAGGCGGAGACCACAAATAATAGAGATCGCTGTTATACATTTTTCAATATTTCTACAACTATAGATAGTAGACATATATTATTATGCTCTTTGATAAAAAAAAAAAACGTGAATGATTTTTATGTTTTAATAACCATATTATAATAATACTTCATAATATTTAGATGTTTTATTTTTTGACATCCATACATAAGTGCGTTATGTAGTGTTATAGAGATTTCCCAGTATGAACTTGCTGCATGAAATAACAAAATATAATAATTGCATAGTTTTAAACTAACTTACTGTGATAGCTACAGTTTCATGTTAGTTTCATGCCATGTCAAATTATTTTTCAAACAAATCAAAATATATATATTTATAAAAAACTATCCTTATAGATTAATGCAGTTGAAACTTGAAAGTTTGTAAAAATTGAATTAGTAAAATTGCATTTATGAGACGCACGAACACGAACCGGAAATTACATTAAAAATGCAACATCGAAGAGGGATACAATATACATATTATTATAAATATAAAAAGTATAACAGTCATAATTAGTTAATATTATAGACACTTTCATTTCAATTCAGTTGGATAATAATATTATATTTTTTATCCAAAACTAATATGTACAGCTTAATATGCTGTAAACATTTAGAGAAAGTTTATGATACCGAAAAATGTATAAAAGGTACCTGAGTCGATTTTGGTGAACATCATATTTTATTTTTATTTTTAGAAATTGGAATTTGAATAATCAAAAAAGAGTATGGGACGCACAGGCCCAGTATGGTTCAATAATCAATAAGAAAATATTGAGACGAATATCAAGTATTTGGTAGGTACTCTTCTTGCATCACTTACCTAAATAAAGGAAGTGTTATTATTATAATGGATTTAAGATTATAGATGTGATCACTGGATGCTAATGATACGTAAATCATTTGCTATCTTTATATTTCACTACCAATAATAATAAATTATGAGAGGCACTCAGTTAAAACCATGCTTATTATTTAATGTTTCTTATCCTTAAGTAAGACGCATTTCAGTAGTATAAGTTTTTTAATACTTTTGAGAAAAGTATAAAAAAAAAAATCCCATGTAAAATAATGAGATACAAAAATCTACAAGGCGTCCGAAAAATACCATTGTAAAAATTATGCATTTCATGTTATACTAAAAAATTTACAATATTGTTCAATGATTCATGTAGCTATTAAAGCATTTTCGTGTTTTTAAGAATAATATATTGCATATTTTTCTTGTTCATAAATAAAATGCAAGTCATTCTTGTAACCATTGTTTAATGTAAGAAATGAATTTCAATAGGCATATGAAATTAAGGAATAGAATTTGATCAAATCTTAATCGATTACTATGTCAGTGAATTAAATTGTAAAGAAACATATATTATTCAGAAAAATTAATGAATTTTCATCTGGAAAAATTATCACAGTCAATATTTTTTTAAATTTGAACGATCTATCGTTTTAGCGGAATCACTTAACGCGATTAATTAACATAAACAAAATGAGTTGCGGCTATGGTTATGTGAATCATTGACAGATTCCCGTAAGATATTACCCAAATTATTTTCTCCGTCCAGTTCTTTTCCTAGTCTTAAAAATTGTTTTATATTTAAATTTGCTCGGATAATTATTTAATCGAAGAAACGCCACACGAGGAAAAT